AGAAAGCACAAGGCCCCAAATTCAATCCCCGGTGCCACCAAAAAAGAAAAAAAGTGAGCCACCAATTAAGACATTTTCCCAAATATTAGCACATTATGGACGTGTTTTCACTACTACAGAGTTTGGCCTTTTGCATAAACATCAATTTTAAGCAACTTTTGGTGTGTTTCCATGTTTCTTTTAAAACACTGAGGTAAAAGAAATGACATTGAACAATTTTCAATTTCCAGTGGATTTTGGCTGTCTGGCGTCTCACACATGTGCTCAGTGACAGCACGGGGGGCGGGGGGGGGGCGTAGCGGGCCCCCCACCCCCAGGTGGGCTGTGGTGTTCCCCAGTCAAACATAAACACCCTTACATTGCACCAGCAACCAACAAGGCCACTCTGTGCCTAGAATGGAACAAGAGGAAAACAAGGTCACTCTGTAATCATGTGTGAGCACAGACCTAAACAAGAAAATTATCCACACCACAATCATGACCACATCCCCTTTTCTGGCTAACGCTAGTAACCACCACTTTCCCAATCGCAGTGTGGGCCCTGCTTTGTTAAGATGCCACTTCCTGTAGCATCCTCTCAATCCAGAGCCCTGTCAGGCCTCTGGAAACCTTCCCCAAGTCACCCAGCGCCCACACAGATCCTCAGATTGTTCCCTTCTAACTTCTGATAAAGATGCTCCAAGTCCTCAGGGGGTGTGGTCTCTCTCCTCACAATGAGTCAATCCACTCACCTTTATTCTGCCATAATGTATGTTCCCAGAGGTTTGTGTCCGGTGGGCACTGAAAGGTATGTTTGCCGAAATGAGAGTACAGAACACAGAGTGCTCAACAGTTCATAAGCTCTCTTTATGATGTTTAAACACTTAAACACATGATATACTCCAGTTGGACTCTCATCCAGCCCTTAATAAATGTGACAGCAAACGTGTGTCTAAGGCAGGGTTTTGCCTCCTTGTGCCTTCGTGCCTCTGGAGAGCAGGGACATGTCCTGGGGAGATGCATTTGAGGAAAGACCACCAGCAGAGAGGTATTTAGACAGGCAATGAGGGACTGGAGGTGTAGCTCAAGCAGTAGAGTGGCTGCTTTGCAAGTGCAAAGCTCTGAGTTCAAACTTTGGTCCCACCAAACTGTTCATCTGGAAAAAAAAGATTAAAAAAAAAAATTTGTCTGCCAAGGCAGACAAATTGGAAATAGTCCTGGAAAAACTTCCACAAGTTCAAGTACAACACAGTTATGACCAGGGCCATCTCCACTTGGAGATGGCCAAGAAGGACAGCAGACACTCTGCAGAACAATGAACCCCACAGACTGTGATGATATGGGTCAGGTGTTCTAGGGGCCACTAGAGACAAAGCTCCCCAGCTCCTGGAAGAGGAGTCAGCTGCTGGAATTCTAGGTCAGATGATGACAAAGGTGAAGCAGGCTAAATAGCCACAGAACCCCTACCTAACCCAGGGGACAATTCCACTGCCCTACCCCCAAAGGACATTTTGCCAATGTCTGGAAATACTTGTGGTGGTCACACCTTGAGTGGAAAGGTGCTACTGACCTTGGGTGAGTGGAGGCCAAGGCTTGTTCAGCATCCTACAATAGCCAGGGCAGCCCCCACACAGACGATGCTCCAGCCCCAGATGGTAGTAGTGCTGAGGTGGAGGTGGGGGCCCAGGCTGCACACAGTAAAATGTGTGACACTTATGCCATAGAGAGGAGTCTTCAGGGGATGGGCAGCAGAAGTGTCAGGAAGCTAACTTCGATCTAGGAAGGGGACCCTATTTTAAGTGAGCAAACCTCATTTTCATTAAAGTTATCGTAGATAGACTTGAATAGATCTGTCCATTTGTTGCCTTGGAAACCATGAACTAGGGAAGGCAGTCTAGTAGATTGGGTCTTAAAAGAAAGAAACTTTTGAAAATACCTCACTAAGGAATTTCTGGAATGAGAAGAGGGATAAATTATTCAAGGTGCTTATGAATTCCATCTGAGAAGCACATGCTAATTAGAAATCCTGACTGAAGACCAAGGCCAAGCTAAAAGACCCTCACATCTTCTTGTTTTGCTTGAGCAGCTCAAGGGCCTGCTTGAAACTCAACCCAGCACCTCACAGCTCAGGCCCCAGCTCCTCCTAGGTTAAGTTATTGCAAAGAGATGAAGGATCATGTGTATTTATCTTAGCTAAACATGATCTTGGTGCAGACTCCTTTTCCTGGTTTCTTCTCTCTGCTATATGGAACATCTGCTTATGTTAAAATATAATCAACAAAGATTCACAAAGACTTTCTTGTCTATTGAAGTGAAACAGACTGCAGGCTTCACCCCAAACTCAACTGGGCTTACGTGTTCTTGCTCAGATAATTAACTCTCCAATTAAACTCAGATCTGGGAAACAAGGCCACAAAGTCCTCTGAAATGGTGGAGCCAGAAACAAATGGACAGGGTTTCACAGTCAGAGGACACTGTGTTCCAGGACAGTCAAATATAGAAGACTTAGGGCCAAAAATTTCACTGAACCTCCAGAGTGATTTATTTTACAATGTAGATGATTTGAGGATAAAGATTTTTAAACTCATTTTTAGGTAAGCCTCCCTCTTTTCAGAAAGAAATATTCCCTAACTAGTGATCGTAAGTGCAAGTCAAACTCTCTCCAAAGTACCAATAACGGTGAGTAAAACAGTGTTTCAAGAACAGCCTCACGGTGGGTTCCGGTACCCAACTGACATTCTTTATTAAAAATAGTAATTCATTTTCATGGCAATAAACCAGGACACAGGTCTTTGTTGGACATGAGAGTTGAGATTCCAGACTGGAGAAGCCAATGCAGAGCAAGACTGAGCCCGGTGGAATGTGGAAAAAACAATGGTCCTGTGCACAAAGTCACCAGGTGTGGGCTCTTCAGGAATAACATCTCATGCCATCCAGTATTATCTAAATGACAGAGGGAGTGAGATTAAGCCCTGAGAGTAAATGTGAGCAAGACAGGGCAGTTTCCCTCTCCACAGAGTGAAGATCGGTGGAGACAGGCCTTATGCATGTTTTTACAAGTGCAATCAGTGTTTGAAAGGTTAGAATCCACGGACAACTGTCCTAAGAGTGGGCGCACTGGTTCAGCCTCCCTCCAAAGGGAGCTGAGTGTGCTCCTAACTCTGTACTCAGTGACCTTAATTTGGGTAGCTCAAAATCAGCTCTGGAAAGAATATTTACACCACAGAAATTAGCACATCTCTTCCTCTGGAGAACTCAGTGTTAAACAACCCCAGCACACTACTGCAGACTGTCAGAATTCAAGAAGAAGAAGAATATGCTTAGTAAGTCACAAAATAGGAACAAACGTAAGGTGATAACAAAAGGCACTAATAATAGCCAAAGCAGTGATGCTGTCATTCTATGACTCCAAATGTTTATATGTGTAAATGTGTAAAGAGACTAAGACAATAACCTTATAGCATTTTTATAAATCTTGTATTTAAATTGTTTTCTGACTTGGGCTGTGTCTGTGTGCCATAGCAGAATTTTATTTCATTTCCAGAACAACACTATGAAAAGATGCCTCTTATTCGCCCATCAAGGTAATAAAAAACACAAACTTAGCTGGGCAACAGAGGCTCACACCTATAATCCTAGCTACTCAGAAGGCAGAGATCAGGAGGATCACAGTTCAAAGCCAGTCCTGGGAAATCGTTTGAGAGACCCTATTTCAAAAATACCCAAGACACACACACACACACACACACACACACACACACACACACACAAAACAGAGCTAGCAGACTGGCTTAAGTGGTAGAGCACCTGCCTAGCAAGCAAGAGGCCCTGAGTTCAAGGCCCAGTGCCGCCAAAAAAACCAAACAAAAATCCACACGATACATAGACATTCCCAAATACAAGTGCTAATCCCATTGTCTGAGAGGAGCTAGATGAATGTGGAAGTGAAACTCAGAGCTTATGGACTGGGTGCTTCAGGGTCCTTGTGACCAATGAAAATCGTGACACATACCCTGTATGTCATCATGAGACTGTTCAAGAACTCCAGCGCCATAACTCTTTGGTTCTGGGAACTGGGAGGTCAACTGGCCTCATCCCTCACTATACAAAGGCAACAAGGAGACTCCAAGAGACCGAGTGTCTGCCCGAGAGACCATTAGATAGGAAGTGGTACAGCCATGAACCAAACCCACAGTATTCTCCTGTGGCCTGTCCAGCCTGCCATACTAGTCATCATGGAATGAAAGATTGTTTTATAAATGGGTCAAAGATGCCTTCTGTGTATTGCTCCCTCTGTTGTTTTTGTTTTTGCAGTACTGGAGTTTGAACTCAGGGACTACACCTTGAGCCATACCACCAGCCCTTTTGTGTGAAGGGGTTTTTTTGGGGGGGTAAGGGATGGGGTCTCACAGACTATTAGCCCAGGCTGGCTTTGAACTGTGATCCTCCTGATTTCTGCCTCCTGAGTAGCTAGGATTACAGACTCACGTGAGCCATCAGCACCCAGACCTCCATTGTTTTTATATTTCTTTCTTTCTTTGTTTTCTTCCACTGCAGCCTAAGACTAGTTAGCTCAAAAGCCAACCAGCACCAAAATCCAAAATTTTTACACATCCAGTTATTTTTTAAAATATCCAAAACTAGCAGATTTGTAACCACTTAGAGCCCACCTGTTTCACATACTCCTTGGAAGCTCACCCAGCATCTGTGGTCTATTGATAAGATACAGTCTTGAGGTGCAACCCCAACTGCTACTGCCCTTGAGGCTCTCTGACCCAGAGACAACCACTGTGCTGCTGAGAAGCACCACCTAGACACCTGAGCTCCTCCCATTGTCCTATCCCCTGGGAGTTCCTTCATCCCATTCCCTTGTTGGCACCCTGGAGCCACTGAACGGTCTTGTGCTCTGAGGCTTCCCTTCTCATGCACGCTGTACAAGCATTTTCTAGCAAGTCTGTTGGGTGTGACTGCCTCTAGTGGTCATCTTTTTCCTTGATCCTCCCCCAAACTTCAATCCTCCTAAAGAAGGTGCAAATAGACCTTGAAGGCCTGTAGGCCCCGGCATGGGCAGATGTGGGGAACAAATAAGAGAGGGCGTGGGGACCCCAAATTCCAGTTTCCTTACTTCCTGTGAAAGTAAGCAGCATGGTGACCCTGTCTCAGTCTTGGCCACATGTGAATAACAACTAATCACTTGACCTGACCAAATTCTCACCTTTCTTATGCTTATTTACAGGCATCAAAGAAGAAATTAACAAGTCCATAGGATCAATTTGCCCCAGATCACAAAGCAAGGCTTCATTCATTTGGTAAACATCAGAGCACCACCATGAAACTCCAAGACTTCAGTTGAAGCAGATTTCACACAGTATGTACACGGCCATTGTCTAAGGCAAAACTGCTTTAGAAAATAGGGCAAGGAAGTCCAGTTGCTGTTTTTAAAATGCCAAAATCAAATTCTGCCCGTCGAAATTTAAATGTATGCACTTTTATATAAACAGTATGATCCTATAAAACTGTTTAGCTGCCTTAACTAATTAGCCAAGGAGGAGTAAAAATTCACGGGTAAGCAGTGAGACCTCTTGCTTTCCCTCACCATGGGAGCAGGGGAGAGGACACTTTACATCTTAAAACTTACAGGTTTAATGAAATCAAAGAACGAAAAATTTCAAGTGTGTTTTCCTGGTTTAGGCTACTAAACAATTTTCCTAAAAGAAATAAAAGAGATCTAAGCTCTAAACTTAACTTTATTTCACTTTGTGTGGAATGCTCACATTTTGAAGAAAAAAAAAATTTACACTTTCGTTTTGTGTACTTTTCCCAAAACTAATAATGATAGCTGGTAAATTGAGTCTATGCTGGGCACTGCATCATGAATTTTTTAAAAATATATTTACACAGATATTTATAACCCAATGAGATGGATATAATTATTATTCCCATTTTACAGAGGTGGAAACTGAGGCATGGGATACTTACATAACTTGCTCAAGACCAAGCAGTTTCCAAGTCAGTCCAGTAGACAAAGTTCGCCTGGAGCAACCGCGCCCTGAAAGTGCTTCATCTGCATTGAAATATGTGGTACGTGTAAAGTATACTTTCTATTTTGATGGCTTGTATGAGGAAAAGAACAGGAAATACCTCGCTAATAATTTTGAAGTATTAATTACATGTTAAAATAATACTTTGGCTACATCAGAAAAAATGAACATCGCATTGGTTTCACCAAATGTGGCTATTAGAGAAGTTCTCACTGTATGTATGGCCTGTACTAGTGGCTCACATTGGAACAAGTGCATTAGATCTTGGGGGTTTTTTTTTGTGTTGTTTTGTTTTACCATTTTGCCTTCCCCTCCAAAGAAAAAAGTTTTTACTACTCATGTTTATGAGAAAGTGTGATCTTCCTTCCTTGTTTCTGTGTCATTTGTATGTGGGGAATCGAGGCACAGAGGAGTTAAGACCTGAAGTCAAACATTAACCCTGAAACAATCTCTCAAGCATGCTGAGAACAAAAGATCGAACTTTCCTCTCTGCTTGGCTGGTTGGACCTGCTTTCCAAAACCCGCCCTGAAGCCACAGAGTTCAAGTTCAACAACTTGTCTGAGGTTCAATGTCTAATCGGAAGCCAAACACAGCCTTTGCTTGTGGTTTGCGCTTGCTTTCTGCTCAGACTGGATATGGCAGGTTGGGAAGATGCCAGTTTACACCACCTCTGTCCGGGGGCCCTGGGTTGTTTGTATGGGATTAATACTCCAATTATTTAATAGAAATTATTGAGTTTCTTTATCAAAGAAAATGGATGAAACACCTGCTGATAAGTTCACGAATAGACACAAGGACTCCTTAAGAAAGCCCCAGTTACTCATAGACTAATCAAGGCACAGAATGGGGGCTGGGTTTTCATATTTTCCTCTGAAAGTTTCCCCAAACAGGAAATAGTTCCTGAAACATGAGCTACCCCACTGGTGCCACCTAACAGTATGGGACTTGGCAATGAGAACCACAGGCGGTCTTGCACTTTCTGCTGGGCTCCGGGTCCCCCTTCCCCAGTCCCTATCCATCCAGCCCTGAGTATACGACATCTGTGCTATTTCCTTAGTTCCCTAGAGCACAGGATGGCTCTTCCCTGTCACTGGGTTCACCTGTGTGCCATCTATTTGAAGAGCCTTTAAAATGTCCCAAGCGTGTCCACTTGTGCCAAGCACTCAGCTTGACTTTCCAACATTATTCCTCTCTGATTTTTTTTTCTCTGTATCTCTCTGCCTCTAGAGTTCCCTAACTCTCCTTTCTCTCCGGTAAACCTGTGAAGGAAGGGGCCATGGCACTGAAGACCTTACTGGGGAAGTGGTGAAACTGGCCTCCTCCCTCAGCCCCTCCTTAACGAGGATTAAGTGTCCCCAGCGCTGGACAGCTGTCCCTGAGCCATCTAGAACCAGCTAATGGCTCTCTGAAGCTAAGTTGGAAAGAACAGAGGCCCCGGCTTTTTTATTCATAGTTCTGTGTTATGCTTATATAACCCTAGTCTAAATATAAACTTGACTCTTACCTCCCACAGTTTCTTGTCATTTAACCTTATCTTTCTAGATTCATTGTGTTTGATGTTCTAATGGACCACATTTCATGTGACAAGGCGCAGGGTGAATTGAAAACCTGGAGGCTTTAGACTCTGATCATTGTGCTACTTCTGTTCTGCTAGCTGTGTGGCTTTAGACGTGTCACTGAACCTCTCTGAGTCTATTTCCTCTGTGAAGTCTTGAAAGGTTGGGTTGTATAAAATCTAGAAACCCTTGCTGTTCTGCAGTTCTATGATCCAGGAACTTTCCAGATCATTGCTAGTAATTTTGATTTCACTTCTCATATTATTTATTTCCTGTGCCACTGAGTCTGGGGTTCACCCCTGGAGATGTGCAGTTGTCCTGTGAGAAAGCAGGTTGATCAAGTCCCTTTACAAGGTGACTAAAGGTAATTCCAGTCCAGATGCCAGGAAGATGCCCCAAATTATTTTATAGCTACATAGAGTTAAACACAATTGCTTTTTTTAACTTCAAGGGAAGGAAATCAATTCACAATTTAGTGTGTAGAAAACTGAAGTGTGAGTAAGGTTCTCAGGGAATTTGATTGTTTCTTTGTCAGCTGAAGGGAAGCACTCCTTCCACTCCACAGGGTACTTCTGAAATTATTGTGGGGACTTCAAAACCTGTGTCCCCGTCCTCCCTACTCTACCACATTCCATGTGGGGCAGCCAGGTAAATGTCACTAATGCTGTCGCTGCTCTCAAATCTGCCAACTCCCAAGTGATTGAGCACAAGCCACAGGGACCCACGTCTGGCCTTCAAGGTCCTGGGCAGCTCTTCTGCCGGCTTGCCACCTGAGCCCAGGGAGCTCACACACCAGCCCTGAGCAGTCACTCCCCCCCTGGAAGAACCTGTACCCTCCCACCAATCTGTTCTATAAAATTGATGTCAATAATTATGGTGGTGTGTGTAATTCTAGCACTCAGGAGGCTGAGGCAAGAAGGTTGTGAGTTCGAGGTCAGCATTGGCAACATAGTAAGACTGTGTTTCAAACACCACCAAACATGATTTCACAATAGGCATTCTCTCTCCTTCCAAACCCCATAGGCCAGCACTGTCCAACAGAAACAAATGCAAGTTCCATACATAATTCAAATTTTTCTAGTCATATTTAAAAAGAAGGAAACTGATGGAGTCAATTTTGGTAACTCATTCAAAATATTATTATTATTTTAACATATAAGAAAATTTAAGTTACCAGTGCTTTATTTCACATTCTTCTTTTTAGGTACCCAGTTTCCAAAATCCAGTGTGCATTTGTCACCTACCACACTTCTCACCTGGGATGTGAAGTTCTCATTGGATGTACTTGATCTATATTTGGATCCAAACACACTCAAAAGTCTGACAATAGTGAAACCCAGCATCCATTTCTAAAACTGAAACTTCAATTAGTTAAAAAGAAATAGCATTAGAATTCTAGTTTCTTAGACACTAGCCACATACCCTCAGGGGCAGCATGTGGCCAGTGGCTCTGGACAGTGCAGCCACAGATCTAAGTGTCCCCTGAGAGGTGTCCATCTCACCTAGGCCTGAATAAACAAATAAGTCTCCTGGACAAATGAAAGAGAGACCAGTGAATCCATGATCTCAGCCTTCCTATCAGGTTACTGACTACTTGTGCATATCCAGTTGGCCTTCTGCAGCTGCCGGTTCCCCACACCTGGATTCAATCAACCTTAGATGGCAAATATTTGAAAAAAATTGCATCTGCACTAAGCATGTACAGATATTTTTCTAATCGTTATTCCTCAAACAATACAGTATAACAACTATTTATAGCATTTACATCGTAAATTATAAGTAATCTGGAGACAATTTAAAGTATATAGGACAAGGTAAGATCAGAAACACAAAAGCTGCATGTTTTTTCTCATAAGGGGAAGACAGAGCCAAAGATAAACACATACAAAAAGCAAGCATGATCACATACAAACTTAGATGTAGAACATGTTTGTAGCAGTGGAACTTCTCTATGGAACTCAGGGAAACAGGGAAGGAAAAGAGGATGATAGAGCATCAGTAATATCGCATATTATAAAGGTAGAGGATATAAGGATGTGCATTGAAAACTGTTGAAAAACGGGGGAAGGAAGGAAAAGGGGTAAGGGAGAGTAATCGAAGGGATTGAGCAGACACACAACGTAAAGCACACCTACTATGGGCATACATTGAGACACCCCTTTGGACGTCAACTTAAATGTTAACGTCCAAAATCAGGGCTGAAAAATAGGCACAGTGTGTGGTGGGGAGAGGGTACTAGTGGGAAGGGGGAGGGTGAAGGAAGGAGATTAAGGTGATGGTATATGGTCGATGGACTTCAACTACCTATATAAAACAGAACTAAATAACCTCTTGTAATTGCTTTAAGTGGAGCAGGGAGAGGGTTGAGAGGGAGAGGCAATGGGGGCAATTAACTAATGTACAATATAAGTTTAATGGGAATTGTCACTACGAATCCCCCCTGTATAATGAATATATCCTAATAAAAAATTTATAGTAATAAAAAAAAAGTACGCAGGTCAATGTGCAAGTTACCTCCTTGTAAAATGTTTTTGTTTCTTTCTTTCTTTCTTTTTTTTTTTTTTTTTTGAGTTACTGGGGTTTGAACGCAGGCACACTCACTTGCCACACTTGCCAGGCAGGCACTCTACTGCTTGAGCCACTCTGCCTGCCCGTGTTACTTACTTTTGTATAAGGGACCTAAGCATCCAGAATTTTGGTATCTGAGGGAGTTCCTGGAACCAATCCCTTGAGGATACTGCGGGACAATTATCTTATTCTTAACATTTTCTATGGTGCTAACAGAGCCATGCCCAATCCAAGGTCAACAGCATTTCTTCCTCACTTGGATGAATGTAGGATGCTATGGCCACATAGATCTCACTCTTCCTACTTGGGGATACATGTATATCATATGTAAGAATAACTGAGGAGTTTACTTCTTAAAATTCCTTTTAGTGTTAGAGTCAACTGATTTAACCCACACCTGTGCGAGGATCACACTGCAGAGTGAGCCTGGGAATCTTTCTTTCTTAAGGAGGGACCTCGACAGGAAATCCTGATGGATTTACTATGCACTCCCTTCTTTCTACATACATTATCTGCTAAATTAGACACTAGACTTCTAAAGAAATGCAGGCACTCTACAAAAAACTGAACAGGATCGGGAAAGAGAGAGAGACTAAGAAGAAAAAAGACTGAAAAGGAAGAAGACAGTGGTACAGGAAGCACAAAGATCAGCTGGTTCCAAACCCCATGCAGTGATATATGACTTCCTGGGAGTCTGAGCTTTATCTGGAAATCAGTACCTAAGAGATGTCTTCTTTTTATGATGGAGATATTCCTATAAAAAAGAATAAGCCTGATTCTCCTCAAATACAGGTTGAGTATCCCTACCCCCAAAAATCCAAAATCCAAAACTTTTTAAGTATTCACATGATGTCACAAGTGGAAAATTCCACACCATGAAACTTTACTTTATGCAAAGAATTATTTTTAAACATTGTATAAAATTGTCTTTAGCTATGTATATATGATGAACATAAAACATAAATATATAAATAAATTTCAAATTCAGACTTGGGTCCCATCCCCAAGATATCTCAGTATGTCCATGCAAATATTCCAAAATCCAAAAAAAAATAAGGTTCAAAACCCCTAACACTTCTGGTCCCAAGCATTTTGGACAAGGGATACTCAGCCACCTGTCTTTGGTTTATTTTTTTGCAGCATTGGAGTTTGAACTCAGGGCTTCACACTTGCTACACGGGCACTCCTACCACCTCAGCCACTACCCCAGCCCATTGTTTTTTTATTATTATAGGTGTTTTCAAGATAAGGTCTCGTGAACTGTTTGCCCAAGGCTGGCTTCAAACCATGGTCCTCCTCATCTCAGCCTCCTCAGTAGTTAGGATTATAGGCGTAAACCACCGATACCTGACTGTATTTTCATAAAAGCATGGTCTCATTTCTTCATGGAAAAAATCAGGCAAGGTGAGGGTAACAAAGCTGAGATGGGTACACAAGCAAAGCCCTCAGACCTCTATCACCAGACCACTGGGGTTCCAGGGGCTTCATTTCTGATCATTGCTGAGAACATATGGGCTTAGGAATGTCAAGTTCATCATCCCTTCCACAGTTTCACTGTCTGATTGCAGCCCATGAAAAGGGCATTTTCTCTCTCTCTCTCTCTCTCTCTCTCTCTCTCTCTCTCTCTCTCTCTCTCCCCCTCCAAGATGCAATGATTATTGTCCCTCAACCCTGCAAACCCTCCATATGCAACAGTGGGTAGGTTTGCCTTGCACTGAGTATATTCCTGGAGACTTATCCTAATCAGGATAACACATATGGGGGAGGCAACTGAAGTCTTCCTACAGTACTGGCCCTCTGCTGTACTCAGCGGCTCCTCTGTTTATCCAACAGCACCTGACATCTGAATGGGAGAGAGAACAAAGGTCTGCTCTGAGGACACAGCCCGGCCCAGCACAGCACAGCACAGCACAAGTAATGCTTTTGACAAGGGTAGGGGCAGGGGTTCACTTGAAACTGTCTTCTTTATTTCTTGCCTATTTTTGTTGTTTTTATTGCTACATGTATTGGGAGGCTATTTTTTTTGTGGGGGAGCTATTTTAAAACTTGCTTTGAAAAAATTAAAACTATAAGGGAAACCAAAGCAGCAATTATAAATGGAACCTCACTTTTAAGTCTGAAATGTCCCACCCTAGTTGGAATTTCCTGTCAAGTTTCCTCCTCAAATAGTTTTCCTTATAGTTGCATGATTTCCAATTGATTTTATAT